ACCTGCTCCAATAAAAGAAAGAAAGAAAGAAAGAAAGAAAGTGAAATATACTCGAGAGTGGATTTCATGCTCTTTATTCAGCTCATAGTGGTGAGGAGGAATGAAAGTCCCCTCAAAGTATCTGCTTTATATACATTATTTACACAATGGGCTGCACGTGATTGGCTAATTCCGGAATTCTCCTGAAGGCCAATCAGGTTGTGGATTCACTTCCATCTGGAGCCAGATTGGGTGGCTCCTCCAGACCAATCATACTGCTGCATTGTTCTAGGACCAATCAGACTGCTGCATTCTTAATCCTATTGTTCTAGGACCAATCAGACTGCTGCATTTTGGATCCTCTTGTTCTAGGACCAATCAGACTGCTGCATTTTGGATCCTATTCAACTCAGTACATAAAAGAAAGAAAGAAAGAAAGAAAGAAAGAAAGAAAGAAGAAAAACATGCACCCACTTTATAACCAAACATGCACATGGTTTGGCCCGAAGTCTGTGGAGATATTCCTAAACCTGTTTATCTTCATCCTTTGTCCCTATCATCTCTCCTTCCTTCCCTACTTCTATTGTTTCTTTTGATAATTTTTTTTAAAACCTTGGGATTGTAAGACCTCAGGGCAGCAATATGTCTTCCCCACCCTTATGCTAGTTTCAGGCACCATCCCTGCTGAGGGTGCTATGTAATTTCGATAATAAACTGTGGGGTGGGGAAAGGCTTTCAGTTTTTTATGCTCCTTCCTTTGGGGGATATACCATCGTCCTCCACCGCTACTTATTTTTTTAAAAAAACTATAAATTTAAGTGCTTTGTGTGATATATCTGAACATGTACTTTGGCGCTTATCTGCGCTTCGAATTCTGTTCTACACTTTCCTCTTCCCACCCAAATAATTGCCAGAGGCCCTCCTAACTGCCTGAACGCTAGGATGTAATTTATCTAGGCCTAGTGCCCTATCAATTTTAATAGCTTTAATTACCCAACTGTCTGCTTTGATTAAACATAAAAACCTTTTAATATAACTCACCACTCCCTCTCAGTATACGCACACAAACAAAAGCGTTAGGCTCCCTGGTTAACCCTACAGTAAAGGGCATCTTATGCTTTCTGTTCCTGAACCATTCAAGCAGTTCTGTCATAATCCTAGCAGTTTCCTCTGTCTTTTAATTTTATTTTCACAAAAGTGTCATGATCTCGGTTGCTTTGCAGATAAATTAATGCGCCCAGATACTGTAGCTACGAACACAGAGAGTAATTTTTGATCACTTCCAGAAGGAGATGGAAAGATCTGCCCATTTTGCCAATCTAAATTTCAGTGATCCATATTCTGCAGCAATTTGTGATTTAAAAAAAACAACAGCATTTTAGTGCAAATTTATGCTAATAAACACATTTTTGACTAACGTACACATGTTTACAAGCAATTTCCGTAATATGCATTTTGGTATCTTCTTTCCATGGATATCTTTATAGTTATGTGCACTTTTACCTAATACATTCACTTTTGTAAACATTGGTTGGCTGGCAAACTGCATTACAAAATTCGGTTGAGTGTGAATTTCAACAGAAAGATGTGCTTTGGTTCATCTATTTGGAATGAGCAAATTTGAAAGATTCAGATTTAAATACAAGCTGAATCAAATTCCTCCCTCACCCCTACTTCCAGATCTTTAACTTAAAAGTATGTAAAAGGCACATCCCTTAATTTCATGATTTCAACAGTGCAATCTTTCATTATTTATCTAACAGTGCAATCTTATACTGTCTTCTCAAAATCCAGCCGGTATCAACATCGCAGGAGCTGGGGCTCATCAGAAAGTCGGCCATCCTAAATGAAAGCAGAGTAGGCAAACTTAAAAGACTGATGGCAAGAGATCGTCAGTATTATGAATATAAGCACAAATGGTGTGTTCAGTTCAATTGCTGAGTGACACTTGAGTGAAATACTGGAAGACCACTGTAAATGATACTGAGCTAGCTGGACTTATGGTTTCACTTGAAGGTAGTAGTAGTAGTAGTAGTAGTAGTAGTAATTTATTTATAGCCCACCCATCTGGCTGGGATTCCCCAGCCACTCTGGGTGGCTCCCAACAGAATATTAAAAACACTATAAAACATTAAACATTTTTAAAAATTCCCTAAACAGGATTGTGTTCTAAAAATCAGATAGTTGTTGTATTTCCTTGACATCTGATGGGATGTCGCAGGGCGGGTGCCACTACTGAGAAGGCCCTCTGCCTGGTTCCCTGTAACCTCACCTCTCGCAGGAGGGAACCACCAGAAGGCCCACGGAGCTGGATCTCAGTGTCTGGGCTGAACGATGGGGGTGGAGATGCTCCTTCAGGTATACTGGGCTGAGGCCGTTTAGGGCTTTAAAGGTCAGCACCAACACTTTGAACTGTGCTCGGAAACGTACTGGGAGCCAATGTAGGTCTTTCAGGACCGGTGTTATATGGTCTTGGCGGCCTCTCCCAGTCACCAGTCTAGCTGCTGCATTTTGGATTAGTTGCAGTTTCTGGGTCACCTTCAAAGGTAGCCCCACGCAGAGCGCATTGCAGTAGTCCAAGCGAGAGATAACCAGAGCATGCACCACTCTGGCAAGACAGTCTGCGGGCAGGTAGGGTCTCAGCCTGCGTACCAGATGGAGCTGGTAAACAGCTGCCCTGGACACAGAATTGACCTGCACCTCCATGGACAGCTGCTGGTCCAAAATGACTCCCAGGCTGCGCACCTGGTCCTTCAGGGGCACGGTTACCCAATCCAGGACCAGGGAGACCTCCACCCCCCCACCCCCTGTCCCCAGAAAACAGTACTTCTGTCTTGTCAGAATTCAGCCTCAAACTGTTAGTCGCCATCCATCCTCCAACCGCCTCCAGACACTCACACAGTATAGGGATTGAAGGAAGGGAACCATAGAATTGTAAAATTGGAAGGGACCACAAGGTTCATCTAGTGCAAACAACTGCAATGCAGGACACTTTTGGCCAACACAGGGCTCATACCCCGTCTCATGTTCTGCCAACTGAGTCATGTGAAACAGAAAATTGTCATCCGAATTTGGATTTCAGTAAATCGTAGCTTCATGTCTCAGCAGCGATATTTCACCAGCTCAGAAATTGCCGTGAGAATGGGGCACAGGGATGCCCCTAAATGCCCAGTACACTTCTACAATCTACTCCTCCCTCCCTTCTGGGCTACATCTTTGCTCATGCTCAGACAGAAAGTACCCCCTCCCCATCTCTCTCTTGATATTCAGAAGGCTGGATCTAAGTACAGTACATCACCCCTCAAGTCTTTCCTAAACCATGCCAGCCACAATCTATTCCACTCTCTCATTAAGAAGGTTGTTAAAGAGTCACTCTCTGCGATGATGAAAACCAAGCCGCAGTCTTGCACATTTGACACATTGGGCAAAGGCTGTGTTTGAAGGGAGCGTTTCATCTCCGTTCCAGGGCAGATTCCTGCATATAAATGTTTCATACTTTTCTGTTCTCTTGTGACATCTAATTGCTTTAAAGTGATAATCAATCCTTTTCATAGCACGCCAGTTTCGTCCCTGATCTGGCAAAGAACAAAGTGTCTTGCTTTGTGCACGCTGAGAGGACAAATCTGCTAGGAAGTTCTCCTCGGCATGTTGCGCCAGAATGAGCCAGAATTGCATGCATGGTGATCCCTGTAAAACCAATAGGTCCAATCAAAGGTGCATATGTAAACTTTTCAGGTCTGTGGCTAGTTATTTTTCCCCCCTTGGGGACTGAACATTATCCGGAGTGAAACAGCTATTCCAACAGTTTCCCAGGCAGTTAAATTACATATTTTTCACCAACCACAAGCAAATATTTAGAACACACAATTTTAATTACATTCCTGTTCTTATTAGTACAGGAAATGATGTGCTATTCATTCATTAAATGGCCCTCACCCAAGCTAGGCTAGAGCTTTGCTTGGCCTGGTACGAAAGCATACTTTATAAACATATCAACATTTATTTACCAACACATTACTAATGACAATAACAATAACAACAATAATTTATTATTTATTGCCCGCCCATCTGGCTGGGCATCCCCAGCCACTCTGGGCACCTTCCGACAAAATATTAAAATACAGTAATGCATCAAACATTAAAAGCTTCCCTAAACAGGGCTGCCTTCAGATGTCTTCTAAAAGTCTGGTAGTTGTTCTCTTTGACATCTGGTGGGAGGGCGTTCCACAGGGCGAGTGCCACTACCGAGAAGGCCCTCTGCCTGGTTGCCTGTAACTTGGCTTCTCGCAGTGAGGGAACCGCCAGAAGGCCCTCAGCGCTGGACCTCAGTGTCCAGGTAGAATGATGGGGGTGGAGACGCTCCTTCATATATACTGGACCGAGGCCGTTTAGGGCTTTAAAGGTCAGCACCAATGCTTTGAATTGTGCTCGGAAACGTACTGGGAGCCAATGTAGGTATTTCAAGACCGGTGTTATGTGGTCTCAGTGGCCACTCCCAGTCACCAGTCTAGCTGCCACATTCTGGATTAGTAGTAGTTTCCAGGTCACCTTCAAAGGTAGCCCCACATACCAGTGTGATCTGCAGAATATCCAAAGGCTAGGATCCAAAGGGGTATAAAAGCACACGTTCTGTGAACATATATATTTATCTCCCCGTTTTTTCTCTTTGGAAGTTGCTCTGCTCAAGATTCTCTCAAATTTCTCTTCACTCACCTCCAAGTTCAAAAAGCGACTGGGGGGATTTGGCATGAGAGTAGGTTAAAGTGAAATATTGGGTGAGGAGAGATAATCAGGTAAGACCCAGCAGCAGATTCTCTAAACATTTGAAATGTTCTTGTGGCAAATCCCCCAACTGCTTTTTTCATCTGCTCTTTGCAGATTTTGGGAGGCACCTTCTGATCTGAACAGGAATTGGATGGCAGAAACTGGGTGCACTCACAGAAATTAGATGTACACCAATCTGGACTTCAGCTCAGTGGACAGATCTAACTGTGTCTCCCTATCCTTCAAGCCCAGTCCTCCATCTGTGGTGGTGGGGGGAGAGTTTTTTTTAAAAAAAAAGAATTATGAATGACCTCACTGACCAGTTTATTTAATTTATATACCACCCTAAACCCACAGGTCTCAAGGCAGTTCACAAGTTGCAGGTCTTGGCGAAAAGTGAAGGTAGAACTTCGAGGATAATTAAGTAATATTCCACCCGGCCAATTTGGATGCCAATAAAGGTTGCCACAGACATTTCTGAGATCATGGTCTTTCCAACAAGTGGCTTCTGTCCAGGTTTGCTAATTGTCTTACTTTAAATGTTGTGAGGATCCTATGCCCTTTTAAAATGTGTTTTTTTGGGGGGTGGGGGGTTATTGGGTTGTTGTTTTTATTTTGATTAAGTATTTTGTGGTTTTATATTTTGATTTTATTCTGTGAACCGCCCTGAGACCTCTGGGTATAGGATGGTATATAAATTCAATAATAATAATAATAATAATAATAATAATAATAATAATAAAGGGGGTGGTGGTTCACAGCCAAATTGCAGCAGTCAGTGGGTAGATGTTGACTTCAGGGAAACTAGACATGTTTTCTAAGTCGGTATATGGGTATGACCAAGGCTATTTTTCTAGAAAAAGAGGTGCCAGAAACCATGAACACCTCCCTCGACAATGGCACCCTACTGAGAGGTGCTTAGAACTTGAGTTCAGTCGAGTTCTGGATGAAAAAAAAAGCCCTGGCTATAGAGACTCCTTTGACCGCTCAGTTGCAAATGACAATGTTGACAAAGTAGGTTGTCTTGTGCCACCCATGTTCCCGGTGCTTTATAGAGTAACATCAGGAAAAGGCAGGCCTCTGCCACAAAGAGATGACAATGAACTTTAGAAATTGAAGCGGCGAGAGATAACGAAGTCTAGATGTGATCAGGGAAGAGTAACGGGATATATATGCAAAGGGAAAGGTGGTTACATATCGCCATTAAGCTGGTGAATTTCTTCACTCCGCACATCATGCCTTGAAGATCAATCAGGGTACACAATAGAGTGACGATTCAGCAATCACTTGCCCACCCAGAAGGCTCCAGTGTGAATCTCCCCTTGAAAGGTCAAAAGGGGAAAGATCCTTTCGAGACATGTGTGTACCGGAGACCAAGTAAACTTTCACATAGACAAAAATAATTGATCCAGCATCATACAAAGCACTGCCAAGTATTATGAGTCTTCTCCAGTGGCATGCTTGCATTGATGTCAACAGCGCTACATTCCTTCCCTTGGAATCTCGACCCTTTAAAAAAGAAATAACAACTTTCCTGCAATTTTTAAAAAAGCTTTTTGGAGCCCCTTTGGCACTTCACATTTCACATGAGCTGCTCAAGAGGGTGAAAAGCAGTTCAAAGAGAAGAGCATACTCTGCCTTTTGAGATGTGCTCAGTTGACAGGTATCATTTAAAGGTTGACACTGGGTGCATTAAGCAAAGTCCACAGTGCATGAACCTTCGGCCTGTGCCAAAAGGGTTTACCACTCTCTTTGACTTCACAAGGGCTCTGTATTCTTGCAGGGCTCAGATAGCGGCAGATGACAACATAGCATTATAGCCAAGAACTTTTAGAGCACTCCGAACATTAGTCTGAAATGTCTTTGCTTTGTTTCCTTTACAAGAGTGCGCAAGTGCCTCCAGGTTAAGCATCTAAACCATGTTCAAGTTTCCCAAACATGTTAGGAATGAGCGAATTGTGATGAATGACTTGAATAAGAGGGGCACTTCTCTCCCCCCAGTGAATTGTGTGGCAATAGTGAGGATATGGCTGGGGAGTGCAGGTGTGTGGATAGTTTGGGGAGAAGTGTGTGAGAAAAAAAAGGAAGGAAACAGTATATTTTGTTCTGCCAGAAGCGCCACTTTACAGAACTCTCTCTTTTTGTCCTATAGCTAGGCATGGGGGAGAAATTTGAGTACAGTTGTACCTTGGAAGTCGAACATAATCCGTTCTGGAAGTCCATTTGAAGAAGAAGAAGAAGAGAAGAGTTTGGATTTGATATCCCATTTTATCACTACCCGAAGGAGTCTCAAAGTGGCTAACATTCTCCTTTCCCTTCCTCCCCCACAACAAACACTCTGTGAGGTGAGTGGGGCTGAGAGACTTCAGAGAAGTGTGACTGGCCCAAGGTCACCCAGCAGCTGCATGTGGAGGAGCAGGGAATCGAACCCGGTTCACCAGATTGCGAATCCACTGCTCTTAACCACTACACCACACTGGCTCTTCAGTGTGACTTCCGAAACGTTTTGATTTCCAAAGCGTGGCTTGTGATTGGCTGCAGAAAGCTCCTGCAGCTAATCGGAAGTCCCTCCGGATGTCCGGGTTCCGAAAGAACGTTCAAAAACCGGAACACTCACTTCTGGTTTTTGATCGTTCGGGAGCCGGAACGTTCAACTTGCAAGGCATTCAGGAGCCGAGGTACAACTGTATTTGTTTATTTCATAAAATTCATACACAACTTGTTAAAACAAAAACTCAAAGCAGTTCAGTTCACACTGAGAGTGAACACTATGCCAATTCACATTTTCCAGAACAATAGGAGCACCAAGGCAAAGCAGTTCTCCAGCCAAGAATATGTACGAAAATGCAAATAAAGTGCTCATAAATTTGCTGACCCTCTGTGGTGGATGCCGTTGTGGGCGCCCGTCACAATTTTGGTGGCAGAAGCCCCGCCTCTTCGGCCACTTCCTGGGCAGCAAAGGATGTGCTAGGACTAAGCTTGCCGCTTGGCGAGTGGATTCAGCCCGCTCACACAATTGGCCAATCACGACCAGGCTTGGGAGCGGGCCACTCCCAGGGGATTAAAAGAGGACCAGCTTCCTCCAGGAATACTTGAAGCTGCGTCACCTTTTTGAGTGCCGCGCCCCCCAAATTTATTGTAAATAAAATCCATGTGTTAGGCGAAATTGCGTGCAAATATTGGGGAAACCGTGCAAGAAAATGCATATTAATATCCATGAGAACTTGGGGGGGGGGGAATGCAAACTGATATCAAAATCAGATTGCCTGGAAAAATGAACTAAGAGAAACTGAAAGCGAGAGATTTTCCCATTTCTAGATTGTATTGTATACAACAAACTGCAATGAATTATAAGCTGGAAACAAAGTAACTCTGGTAGAGGCAGCAGAAAAATCTCTGGAATTTGGATGCCCAATGCCTTTATACACTGGGATGTCTTTTAAAAACTCGGGCAATTGTTCTGAAATGTTGCATACATCATCGTCCACCACCACCACTTCCCAATGATTTGTTGTATGCGTAGGAGCTCCCAAGCTCCCTTTCTTGGACTGGCCACCTATTTGTTTCAATGAAGAGAAGTCGCAGTGCATGAACATCCCTCTGCATGCACAGAGCAGCTCCTTCAATTGAAATTAATGGGCAATGTCATGGAAGGCTTAAAGGAGACATCAGTCAAGAAGCAAGAGTTTCCCAGTACGTTTCCAAGCACAATTAAAAGTGTTGATGCTGACTTTTAAAGCCCTGAACAGCCTCGGCCCAGTATCTCCACCCCCATCGTTCAGCCCAGACTCTGAGGTCCAGCTACGAGGGCCTTCTGGCGGTTCCCTCCCTGCGAGAAGTGAGGTTACAGGGAACCAGGCAAAGGGCCTTCTCGGTAGTGGCGCCCGCCCTGTGGAATGCCCTCCCATCAGATGTCAAGGAAATAAACAACTATCTGACTTTTAGCAGACATTTGAAGACAGCCCTGTTTAGGGAAGTTTTTAACGTTTGGTGTTTAACTGTATTTTTACTGTATTTTGTTGTAAGCCACCCAGAGTGGCTGGGGAAACCCAGCCAGATGGGCGGGGTATAAATAAATAAATTGTTGTTATTGTTTCATTGTCGCTCTTAAACGAGAACAGACCAGCAACATGGCTCCACCGCATACTACGGAGTGACTAAGCTGCAGGAGGACACGATCCATGCAGACATCCCTGCACAAAAGCAAGAGATTTGTAGGCAGATCTCAGCACACCTAGGGCGCCTAAATCAGGGAACCCGTGCGTGCGAACCTGACACTAAGGCAGCGTTGCGGTGACGTTTCCCAACTCTATTCAAACAGCTTCTCAGAATAAGTACCATGCGCACATATGCAAACAATCACCACTTTGGTTTAATTTACATCCATCCTCAAATTATATAAAGCCTGGCTCGAATCCGACGAAACCCACTGGGAGCTTTATTATTTTTATTTTTCGCTCATTTCAGTGGATTCTGGACAGGGCCCTCACTGGAGCAAGCCAAAAACAGGAAACGCAAAGGTCAAGCTGCTTTTGAATTTTATAGAGAGAACTTAAGATTCCAGCAAACTTTCGGGAGAAAATCTAGTAGCAGAGGAAGAAACATGGCAACAGCATGCCAATCATTTTGGAGACACGATTAGGATAGCAGGGGCAGCCTTGACAGTTGTAGGGCAATGATGAAGCCTTAGCAATGTATCAATGGACTACTGATGTCAGTGCTCTTCGAACGCAGCCACAGCCACATGGAAGTCCTCTGCCCGTGGTGTGATCCCACACAGCTGGAGACTGTGTATGACTTGCACAAGCATATAGGTGGGGTCTAACACACTGGCTTTTCCCACGGTCGAGCCACACAGCCAGAAAGAAGTGAGTGGCACAGATTTCATCGGGGTGGACTATTTTAGAACATAGCTGCAGGCCTCCACACCACAAACTCCCTCCCTAAAAAGCTATCATGTCCAGCTTCAAGCTTCAAGGCTTCCTTTCCCCCAGATGTGGTCATATCCTCAGGGAAGCAAGGGTTCCTTTTGACCCAGTACAAAGACACGTTTGAGTAGGACAGGGGATAAATTTGTTTCAGTTCACATTTAAAAGCAAACTTGCTTTACTCACATTTTCAAACGTTATGACAGCCATCCTTTGAAATGCACACTTCTGTGAATTTTGCAGCGCAGCACTCGAGGCAAGTAATATGTGCAAAAATGCATTTGCTAGAGTAAAGCGTGTGTATGTGTGTGTGTGTGTGTGTGTGTGTGATAATTAGGGAAATTGATTTGCAAAAAAAGAAGACAAAATTGCACACAAGTGTTCAGAATGAATCCACTGTCAGGGAGCCAGGTGGAATCTACAGTGGTACCTTGGGTTAAGAACTTAATTCGTTCTGGAGGTCCGTTCTTAACCTGAAATTGTTCTTAACCTAAAGCACCACTTTAGCTAATGGGGCCTCCTGCTGCCACTGCGCCACGGGAGCACGATTTCTGTTCTCATCCTGAAGCAAAGTTCTTAACCCGAGGTAATATTTCTGGGTTAGCGGAGTCTGTAACCTGAAGCATATGTAACCTGAAGTGTATGTAACCCGAGGTACCACTGTACACACAGATAAAAACCATTCTGAAATTGATTTCTATAAAAAAGTGTTTTTAAAAATACATTGAATTTTCCTTATGGTTCACTTAGTGTCACATTGTATATTGCACTTAAAACACATTTAAAATGTTTTATTTGCAGCTGCATAGCCGAGTCCAAGGAGACCAGGTCATTCGCAGATCAGAGAAAGACCGGGAAACACCGACTAACTTACAGATAAAAGGGACCCCTGACCATTAGGTCCAGTCGTGACCGACTCTGGGGTTGCGCGCTCATCTCGCTTTATTGGCCGAGGGAGCCGGCGTACAGCCAGTCATGTGGCCAGCAGGTTGGCAGGAGCAGGGACTGAGCAACGGGAGCTTACCCCGTCATGGGGATTTGAACCGCTGACCTTCTGATCGGCAAGTCCTAGGCTCTGTGGTTTAACCCACAGGGCCACCCGCGTCCCAACTTACAGATGGCTTCATTATTAAGGGAGCAGAACAGAGAATATATGGGAAACTTCCAAGTGTTGCTCCTGTCTAGATAAAGCAGTTGCCCAGACTGGCTTGTAACCCACCTTTCCCTCTCTAGCCCTCTGTTTGTCAGGCCCTTCCCTCTGTCTACAGTGAGCCCAAAGAGCCCCTCTCTATTTTTGCCTAGCTCTCTGCTTGGTAACATGCACTAGTTGCCATGTTCAGCAGTGGCCTGCAAATACCATTGCCAAGTCTGAGTCCTGTGGACTGGGGCACCTGCCTGTTTCCTCTTCTTCATCTTCCTCTAAGCTCTCAGCCTCCAGCATGTCCCAGCTCTTCCCCTCCTCTGGGGTGTGGCCGGTTTCCCACCACCAGGAGCCAGGATCCAAATTCTCTCCCTCTGTGCTTTCCCTGGGGGCCTCTTGGTCAGGAGACTGCTACTGCTCCTCCTCACCCACCCAGTCCCTAACATCCACATGTGCAGAACTGAACCTGAGATTGGTAAAATCAAGAAACAAAACCGACAGATTCACTCATCTCTCATTCCAAGCAGTGTTATAAGAAAAACTGTTCCCTTTCCCTTATGGGGTATTCTGGAGCCTGTATAGAGTCCTTAAGTGGGTTCCCTATCAGTAGGAGAAAATAACAGAGGCCAACCAGAGAATATTGAGAAGCAAAGCGATTCGTAAGCCTGATCTTTATTAAACTGTTGCAACAGGGTCCCCACAACAATGAGAACTGTTGCAACAGGAGAAACCCACAACAATGGTGTGCAAGCCCTTATATAGACTTCTGAAATTGCCCGCCGTGTAGCCCAAGACCCCCCCAAATATCATACATACATCACAGAAGGAGGCAGTCTACAGCAGAAATCGTGCCTGCCAGGATACCTGATAATGGTCACTGGTTGCATTACCTGGGCAGCCTGGCCATTCTTTTGTGATGATTAAGCCACTCTCAACCTAAGGGGGGGGTTGCGGGCTCACGCCTCCGTCTACAATCTCACGGGGCTGGCGGCAGCCCCGCGGGAGTCAGGGATTCCCCACTCTCATCCATATTCATCACCCCCGGGCCAGCCAATCAGCTGCCGGAGGGGCGGGTTTACCTAGGTGCTCTTAAGGTCGGGGCAGCCCTGGCTCACCCCTTTTCCTTCTCTACAGCAGCAGCGGTTTCCCACCCACCCTCCCTCTAGGCCGCTTCTGGACTTTGCTATGGGCTTCAGCTGGTCGCCGCAAGGGGCCTGGTAGGAGTTTTTCCATTTGGCTAATTGGCTGTGATTTGAAGCCACTTGGTTTTTTTGCCTATCTCGTAGCAAAACGTCACAACTCCCGGGTATTGGCGGTTAGGCATTGGCAGGGGTATTGTTATGCAAATGAGGTCGGGGGGGAGGAACGCCATCACCTCCCCCACTTCTTGAAGGGTAGTTCGTTAAAGGACTCCGGGGGCGTCGCCTCGTCCGAAACCTACGGAGGCTAGGGCCTAAAGCGCGCTCCAGAGCGGTAACCCCTTGGGGAGCGCCTAGGGATGTGCACCTCGGGGGCTCCCCCTGTTGGTGCTTAACCCTTCCCGGTTAGACCGGTAGTATGTTAGGGCCAATGCCTAAAGCCAATACCTCTCTTACCTGTAATCAATAAATTTGTGGCCATTTACGCCCATTAACCTTAATTCTGGTGTCCGGTGTCTTTATTTACTACATCTGTGGGAGGGGGCGGGAATTGCCACGCAAATACTTTCGTTCCTGAATCCAGGTCACAGGCTCACCCTGTTCATACACAAATATGCCCCTAAGACAGGATTTGCAAGCGAAAAGACAATGGGAAGGCTTTCCCCATTTGCCTCCCTTACTGCAGAGGAATATTTGAGGTCATTCGGAGAGTCAAAATGGCGTCAGGATTGCTCTCCTGTACTATTTCAGACACATGGTTCATATATTTAGATACGTGCGCATTTATGAATATTTATTCTAAATTTGAGACCTTAAAATTTTTATAACAGCAAACTGTGTTCTTGTTTGCTTGTTTCAAATTAAAATTGAACACTCAGGAGAATCTACTAGGAGCACCACAGGCCTCACTACCCAGTGAGGCTAATACCATGCATGGATTCCCAGATGGTTTCACCTGTAGTCTATGCTGTTGCTGAAGAAGGGCTTGTATACGTTCAGTTTCCAGTTGCGTCTTGAGGCCCCAAGACCCACCCCCCAAAAATACACAGGGACCCTTATATTAGTTTAAGTTTTGGGGCAAATTTTGGCCACAACTTTATTGAAATAGAATCATGTGAGTGGTATTGGCTTAGGCATTGACTCCCCACTATAACTGACTCCACCTCTCAGGGTGATCGTCCAATGGGGTAAACCAAACGAGGGAGCAAGGTCAATGAGGAACAACCTAAGCTCACCCCGGGGTTCCTGTGGTCCTGGCATGGCCCTAGCCCCTCAAGCAGACTTCAGACGAGATCCAGGACCCCCAGATTCCTGGAGGGGCAGGTGATGGCCGCACCTCCCCTCCCCACAATCCAACTGAGCCAATGCCTAACCGCCACCTCACAAGTTGTGACAAGTTGCTAAGGGGTAGGCGAATACCAAATGGCTTAGTGCCAATCTGCTAAATGGAAAAAAAATCCCTACCCAGCCCCTGTTCCAAAACAGGCGACCCAAACCAAAGCAAGGCCAAGCGACTCTATCTAAACTAGGGAGGGTGGGCGGGTGTTCAGCAGATGCGAAGCAAGTGCCCCACTTGCATCACACTGCCGTTTTTAAAGCCCCTGGGATCACGCCACCTACTGGCTATTGGCTAAAACCCCTTGGCGTGATCCCAGGGGAATGGCCAGGACTTCCTGCTCCTACCCCCCCCCCCCATTTTAACCCTGTCAAGTGAGCTCTTGGGTCCCGAGTGCAACCAGGACCCTCTGTTATGAGGATCCCATATGTTGCAGGATTCCAACTCTTCTCCCTGGCCACTGGCCATCCTGACTGGGGCTAATGTGAGGTGCATTCTAGCAGCAGCAACAACAACAACAACAACAACAACAACAACAACAAGTTCTCCAGCACCGTGTTAGAGCCACAAGTGAATTTACAGGCGAAGACACTAGATATAGCCTGAAAATACTGTACTCTTCTCAATAAAACAGGAGAAGGCAAAACATATTTTTCACTCTCCCACAAGCTTTTAAATGATAGATTTATCTGTCTGCTCTGGTCTTCCTCCAAGCAGGACAGAGATGTAACATACAACAAATCAGTGCCAGAAAACATTTCCTTGGCTGCACCTGAGGTGCCCAGAGCTAATTTACACTGGAGGTGAAGGAGATATTAAATCTTCTGCAAAGTAGCAGACATTTTTCCAGCAACGCAAGCCTGTTCTCAATTTTCCCGGAGCCTTGCGAATCCTCTTCAGCCAGGAGACTCAAAACTCAAGGTTAGCATTTCTTCCTTGTTTCATGTCTAACCTTGGGAAATTAACTCAGATCCTCCTGACCGCCCCATCCCCATTGCCCCCAGTTTTAATGGAGATCTGTAAATTGAGGAGCTTGGTTTTTAAACATCCCTGAGTTCCTTTAGAAGCCTTCCCATTGCTCAAGCGAGTAGAAGGCTTTGGGGGTTCCTAAGCCTGCCAAATAGCCCCTTATATGATTTGAGGAACACCGCTCCATTAAAGTAAAATAAAAATAAAAAGATCTCCAGCTGCACAATAGCCTAACCTTCTAAAAATTACGATCTGGCAACCATTATTCTGGTCCTTCCCTCCCTCCCACCCACCCCCACCCCCAACTGATTTAAGTGTGTTGACTATTCTAGGCTTTTCATGCTGAGTTAAAAGAATAGAAAAATCTCATAGCAGTTCTTAAACCGCCCCCCCCCCGCCTCTTCCTTCCATTTGAATGTGGAAAGATGCCAATAGCTGATTGCCTATAAAGCAAAGATACCACCTGGGGTTTCTGCAGTCCGGTTATCTGCTGTGTTGTGTGAGCAGCTGAACATCCCAAGACAGTGCTATGGTTAACCAGAAACTATTGTATTACTTTACAACATTCCGTAACAGGCTCCAGGTCAAAAGCTAGCCCTGTAATCTTAACAATAACTTATCATAGGCTGTCTTCCTCTCTCGACTTGCAATTGAGTCCAGCACAGATCTATGTCTGATGGATCTATATGATGGTGCTGCACCCAATATTGCCAGAATGGGGCATTTGGCCAGAAACTATTATTGCCAGAGAAAGGCTGTAAAACACAACACTATACTTGGTATCTTCATGAGTCCCAGCTGCCCCTCTTTACCACGTGCAGACTCTATATTCAGGGCCAAAGCTGGTTTGCAATGTTAAAACAATTGGTCAGAATAGTATACCCTCCAACATTTCTCTGATGAAATTAAGGATGTTCAATGCTATTATTATTATTATTATTATTATTATTATTATTATTATTTGTCAGGGGTTCAGGGACAGAGGCACAGGGTAGGCAGGAGATGGAGAGCGATGGGGATGAATCCCAGGACAGCGAGGAAGAGGATGACAATGACTCAAGAGATTCCATGAGTCTTTCCAGCGAATCAGAGGATTCCCAGAAGGGGGGCGCCGGTGGTCAAGGCCAGGGGAGCCCCAGGGGGGACGTGTCAGGAGCAGGGGGCCAGCGGGGGATCCCAAAGTGGCAGCTGGGCGTCAGGACCAGCCTCCTCCCCGCCAGAGTGCAGCGAAGGGGGTGGAGGTTTCAGTGTATCAGGGGAAGCGGCTCCGGCAGCAGAGAAGGGAGGGAGGTCGGAGCAAGCCACCCTCCCGGAAGGGGAGGGGAGTAGTGAAGGGAGTAGTGTAGCTGTTAAAAGGAAGGTTAGAGGTTGGGCGCGCGCCAAGTTCAAATGTAGAGGCGCGCGGAAATACAGGGAGCCCGGAGGAGGGGCCAGGTCCCAAAGCCCGCAGGAGGGGGCAAGAGCAGTCTGGGGATTCCGCGTCAGAGGAATCCAGGAGGGGCGAAACCCCAGCGGGCAGAAAGACCCTGCGGAAAAGGAAAGAAAGAAAGAGGTGGAGCAGCGCAAGCCTCTTAAACTGGTGCAGGGGAGGGACGGATTCAGAGGGGACTTCAGCGGTCTAAGAGTAGCAGACGTAGGGCTGCGCGCCTCGGATGTGAAGCAAACAATGAACTGCAATAAACACTTTTGTATATAAGAAGAGATAGGCGTTGGTCTTTTGTGAGCTGAGACTTGAGGCAGCCCTGACATTATTATTACCACACCCATCTGCCTGGGTTGCCCCAGCCACTCTGGGCAGCTTCCAACATATATAAATAATAATAATAATAATAATAAAACATTAAAAACCTTCCCTATACAGCATGGGTAGACAAACTAAGGCCCGGGGGCTGGATCCGGCCCAATTGCCTTCTAAATCCAGCCCGTGGATGGTCCAGTGATCAGCATGTTTTTACATGAGTAGAATGTGTGCTTTTATTTAAAATGCATCTCTGGGTTATTTGTGGGGCCTGCCTGGTGTTTTTACATGAATATAATGTGTGCTTTTATTTAAAATGCATCTCCGGGTTATTTGTGGGGTATAGGAATTCGTTCATTTTTTCCCCTTCTAAATATAGTCCGGCCCCCACAAGGTCTGAGGGACAGTTGACTGGCCCCCTGCTGAAAAAGTTTGTTGACCCCTGCTAAACAGGACTGCCTTCAGGTGTCTTCTAAAGGTTGTATAGTTATTTATCTCCTTGGCTTGGGGGTCGCATAACTCCATACCCTCCAACATTTCTCTGATGAAAATAGGGGCATCCTAAGAAAAAGTGGGACATTCCAGGATCAAATCAGAAACCGGGACGGCATCTGTAAATCTGGGGATATTCCTGGAAAATAGGGACACTTGGAGGGTCTGGAATAGATAATTAAATGGTAAAAGCTAGAGAGCATTAAAACAGGCCAAACAGAGGCTAGTAGGAATTGGTGGCATCATGGAGATAGATGGGGATGTCATGGAGACAGACAGCAGGGACAACCTGGTCATCTCCTGGAGGGCTATTTGGCAATTCTCTGCATTCCACATGAGCTTTTCTCAGCCTGAACCCCACCAAATAAGCTATGCAGAAGAAGGAGCAACTTGCTTTAGCATGTTGAACACCTACTTTGGGACAGCAAAGGATACAGGCGTGCCCCCAAGCTACGACCCTGGTCTTTCAGAGGAAGCCCTATCAAGACCAGGCAATCTCCCACCCATCCAATCTAGGGAACCACCCACTAGCAGTGCCTCATCTGGATTTGTGGGATGTAAAACACAGAGCAGTCAAGTACAACATCCCTAGAGTGGACATAAAAAGGGGATGTCTGGAACAACCAGTCGGAACTTCCTGTTTCCTCCTAGGCTGGGACAGACTTCCTCTACATGTGACCAGAGGTGAGCATGACCTCACCTATGTAGGTAATAAAACACCTCAGCGGAGGCCACCATCCCTCTCTCTCTGACCACATTCATCGAAGAAGCAACATCTGCTTAGTCTGAGATGCTCTCAAAGGAGCTATCTCCTTATGGGATAGTTTCCAGGTGTATATTACTTTTGTAACTCAAGCCTGCCTTCTGGGATCCATTTGTGAACAGAATGTGTAAGTAAACTCTTTTAATACTTTTATAGAAGACTGTGTCATGCCTATCTTTCTATGAGGGACTAAAGGAGAAATTACCAAGGAAACTTATTGTAGAGGCTTTAGCGAGCCTGAGCAAACGCATCCACTGTGCAAGTTTAAAAAGGGGAATGTTACTCTGCTAAATTGTAGAACTTGTTAACACAAGTTGGAAAGGATATAGTCAAACAATATATCCTCTCCTGCATCCCTGAACATTTCCACAGGATTGAGTTTGTTTGTTGCCTCTCATCCAGTCCATTACTGAGGCAAGACACTGGTCCAGCACTTCCACTGCCTCACCTGCAGATGCAAAGGAGAAATAGAGCCGAGCGTCATCAGCATCCTGCGGACAACATACTCCAAAACTCTGGATAACCCCACCCAGCGGTTTCATGTAGATGTTCAGCAGCCACCTGCAACTCCAGGAATAACTCAGTAACCAGACCTTTTAATATTCCTTCTTTTCCCGCCTCCCCCCTCTCCTTCAGTACTCTCAACGCTGGTTTTGTTTTGCCAGATTATCACCAATCAGGGTGACAAAGTCCCAGCACACTCTGTAACTTGAATTATACCAACTAAAAGCCAGGCTAGGAGTTCTCCTTGCAATTTATAGACTGGAGCATTTGGCTCAACTTACAAAACACTTTAAAAAGTGGAATTAAATTTTAATGGTGAAATATGTAATCACTATACTGTTTTATTATGCATGAGTAGGAAAAAAAGAAAAAGAAAAAACACACCAACGCTTTCAATTTAAATAATATCCAGCTTTTAAACACTATTAATGAACCTAGCGCACTCCAAATTAGAATTATGTACCCAAGTTTTCTAAATGTTTGGCTTATCCTAACAGTTTATCACCAGGGTCGCTTCTGCTAATGAGAACGGATAATTGGGAATTGATTGCTCTGGCAAATAAATGCCTTGGTGTGTTTAATTTCTTAAACTGACACACAGCAGGGGAAATCTATGATGCACTGCTCTATTCTTGTTGACAAGAAATTTATGGGAAATTTTGTTCAAGGTCGACGCTAGCTTCCTTCTCCTATCCTGAGTTCACACATCACAGAAGAATGTCACATGACTGACCCTAGAAACACGTTCACAGAGAGAAGTGAACCATCCTCTCCACAGGTAAAATGGCAGGATGACATGCACATGCAGTAGTAGCTTTAAAGATGTGCCGCTGTAATACCAAATATTGCTACTAGGAACACCATAACGATATACAGTGGTACCTCAGTTTTAGAACGCAAATGCTTCCATTTTCGAACACACCTTGTAAGTCGAACAGCTTCCGCTGAGCATGTATTTCTCAATTTGGTTTTTCAAATGTTTCAGAACTCGAATGGTCTTCCAAAACAGATTACTTTCGAAAACCAAGGTACCACTGTATCTGGAAAGCTTTTGCATGAATTTCTGCATGAATGCATCCTCACCAGGGATGCCCTGTTCTCATTTCACAGAGAGCTGTAATGTAACATTTGAACCAGCCTTGTGCAATTTCTACTAATGACTGAAGTACTGTACTATATGTTGACAATGGGAGAGGCAACTCCAAAAAAACCCCACACCCTTTAATATCTCTCCACCCCCATCGTTCAGCCTGGACATTGAGATCCAGCGCCGAGGGCCTTCTGGCGGTTCCCTCATTGCGAGAAGTGAGGTTACAGGGAACCAGACAGAAGGCCTTCACGGTAGTGGCGCCCGCCCTGTGGAACGCCCTCCCTTCAGATGTGAAGGAAATAAGCAGCTATCTTCTCTTTAAAAGACACCTGAAGGCAGCCCTGTTTAGGGAAGTTTTAAATATTTAATACTGTATTGTTTTTAACACTTGATTGGAAGCTGCCCAGAGTGACTGGGGAAACTCAGCCAGATGGGCATGGTATAAATAAATTATTATTATTATTAAATAGGATTCTTGAGTTCTACAGGAGTCCTTCTTCATCCCTCCAGAGAGCCAGGCATAAGGTGTCCAGCATGTAGAATTAGTACTCCAGACTGAAACCTACAAACCACCAAGCATTTGAGCAGATTCTCATGCAGATCAAGCCTAGTTAAACAAGTTCCAATAAGTGCTGGAAGTGTAAAGAGAAAGAAGGTACATTTTATCATATGTGGTGGAATTGTAAAGTAACTGTTACCCTATGAAAAAAAATCACTGTACCTTTCACTGGGGCTCATGATATCCTGTCTGAACTAGCACAGATAAGGCAGGAGATCAGCAGCACCATAATCTGTGAGTGTGTGCCGTACACTGATTCAGTGCGCTGATGATCTACAAAAAGCTATTTGTTTAGATGGGCCCTTTCTTCTTCCCCTCTCACTTCAGAGATGGTTGATACCATGAGTGCTACATGCTAAAATAAGGTTACCAGACGTCCCCGTTTCCCGGGGACAGTCCCCAGATTTACAAATCAGTCCCCTGACAAAATCCATCAATTTAGTAAAGGTAAAGGGACCCCTGACCGTTAGGTCTAGTCGCGGACGACTCTGGGGTTGCGGCACTCATCTTGCTTTATTGGCCGAGGGAGCCGGTGTACAGCTTCCAGGTCATGTGGCCAGCATGACTAAGCCACTTCTGGTGAACCAGAGCAGCGCACGGAAATGCCGTTTACCTTCCCGCTGGAGCGGTACCTATTTATCTACTTGCACTGGCGTGCTTTCGAACTGCTAGGTTGGCAGGAGCAGGGACCGAGCAACGGGAGCTCACCCCGTCGTGGGGATTTGAACCGCCGACCTTCTGATCAGCAAGCCCTAGGCTCAGTGGTTTAGACCACAGCGCCACCCGCGTCCCATCAATTTAGTAGGAAGTTGAAAAGTGTCCCTGGATTCATTGAAAAAAAATCTGGTAACCTTAAGCTAAGAACACTTTCCTATATTTGTGCAGAAGAGTTGCTGAGCTGAGAGGAGTATTTCTTCCCTTCTCCAGGACTGAAGGAGCCATGCTTCTATCTCCACTGACATTAAGGAAGAGGACACTCTGACAATTAGCATGCAACAAACACCCAGCAAATGGCTCCCAATGTTCCCCCTGAAAGGTACTTATTAAGCCTCTTGAAGGAAGCTTTTCCTGCCTTCTCGTGTGAGGCTCGGGGACACGTGACTGATGATGGATGATGCTTCAGCAAAGCTGCTGGAAATGGAGGGAGGCATTATTGACAGCTCTTCCTGCCGCATCAATATGTCAACATAAAGCAGGTCTCTGGTGGTAAATCAACTGCTGTGGTGCACAGAACGACCGTGGGGAGGAACCATGATTGCTACAAGCCACCGAAACTGGTAATAAAAAAGGTAAAGGACCCCTGACAGTTAAATTCAGTCATGAACGACTCTGGGGTTGTGGCGCTCATCTCGCTTTACTGGCCGAGGGAGCCGACATTTGTCCACAGACAGTTTTTCTGGGTCATGTGGCCAGCATGACTAAGCTGCCTCTGGCAAAACCAGAGCAGCACACGGAAATGCCATTTACCTTCCCACAGGAGTGGTACCTATTTACCTACTTGCACTTTGATGTGAATTCAAACTGCTAGGTTGGCAGGAGCTGGGGCCGAGCAACGGGAGCTCACCCCGTCGCGGGGATTCGAACCGCCAACCTTCCGATCGGCAAGTCCTAGACTCAGTGGTTTAGACCACAGTGCCACCCGCATCCCTGAAACTGGTAATAACTCAGGGATAATCCACAGTTGTGCACAATAAAACTTTCATCGAGTCAGAAGGCTGTATGACACAATTCAGAGTGTTGGTGCTGACCTTTAAAGCCCTAAATGGCCTCGGTCCTCTATACCTGAAGGAGCATTTCCACCCCCATCGTTCAGCCCAGACACTGAGGTCCAGCGCCGAGGGCCTTCTGCCAGTTCCCTCGCTGCGAGAAGTGAGGTTACAGGGAACCAGGCAGAGGGCCTTCTTGGTAGTGGTGCCTGCCCTGTGGAACGCCCTCCCAGCAGATGGCAAGGCAATAAACAACTATTTTACCTATAAAAGACAACTGTTTAGGGAAGTTTTTAATGTCTGATGCTGTATTTTTAATATTCGGTTGGAAGCTGCCCAGAGTGGCTGGGGAAACCCAGCCAGATGGGCAGGATATAAATAAATTATTATTATTATTATTATTATTATTGCCAGTGCTTTTCAGGATGACGCACAGAAAAGGACCCAGTTAATGAGCATTTATGCCAGCATGGAGTATGGCTGCTGTTACAGGGGAGATCATAGAATCATAGTCGGAAGAGATCCCAAGGACCATAGACTCCATCCTCCTGCAATGCAGGAAAATACCACTGTCCCATATGGGGATCAAACCTGCGACCTTGGTATCATCAGCACCACGCTCTAACCAGCTGAGCTATCCAATGATGTAGGGTGCATTTCTGTCGAGCTGCAGAAATGGATAAGATATGAGTAGATTCTTCCCATCTGTTGTGTAGGGAGTCCACACATTCACCAAAGGTAATGGTAGCAGTAGTCACTTACATCTGATTTCATGGAGAAAACGATAGTCCCTATGTTCTCTAGGAGGTACAGTGGTACCTCGGGTTAAGTACTTAATTCGTTCCGGAGGTCTGTTCTTAACCTGAAACTGTTCTTAACCTGAAGCACCACTTTAGCTAATGGGGCCTCCTGCTGCCGCTGTGCCACCAGAGCATGATTTCTGTTCTCATCCTGAAGCAAAGTTCTTAACCTGAAGCACTATTTCTGGGTTAGCGGAGTCTGTAACCTGAAGCATATGTAACCTGAGGTACCACTGTATTGCCAGCTGAGCTCCAGCCGACCCTATCGCTCCAGTTGTTTACGGAAGTCCCAAAGCAGCTTTTGCCAACCTGATGCCCTCATAAGGATGTAAGAAGAGCATGTTGGACCACTCCAGTGTCTCATCTAGTCCAACATCCTGTTCTCACAGCAGCCAACTCGATGCCTGTGGGAAACTCTCAAGCAGAACCTGAGCACAATAGTTACCCTGCCCTCCCATGGTTTTCAGAAACCCCCTTCCGGGTGCTTTGATTCCAACTCCCATCACCTGTGATCATTCATCATGCTGGCTTGGGCTGATGGACATTGGAGCCTGGTAGCATCTTGGGGGGTCACCATGTTGGCAAAGGCCTTGTTGTTGTTGTTGTTGTTGTTGCTATCTGCTTCTCCTGATTTGGTTCTTCTGCTGATGGGTTTGTTCAAAGTCATGAAATGTATTTTTCGTAATTTTTTTGTGCCGGATGTTTGTTGTACAGTGGTACCTCAGGTTAAGTACTTAATTCGTTCTGGAGGTCCGTTCTTAACCTGAAACTGTACTTAACCTGAAGCACCACTTTAGCTAATGGGGCCTCCTGCTGCTGCCACGCTGCCGGAGCACGATTTCTGTTCTCATCCTGAAGCAAAGTTCTTAACCTGAGGTACTATTTCTGGGTTAGTGGAGTCTGTAACCTGAAGCGTATGTAACCTGAAGCGTATGTAACCCGAGGTACCACTGTATTTTTGACTTGCTGTCTTCCATCTTTTTTAAAAAAATAAAAATTGACAGCTGGTGGATAGCTCGGTCTGTAGAACATGAAACTCTCATTTTATTTTATTTTATTTTATTTTATTTTATTTTATGCTTCATTGAGATTAAAAAGCAAACAAACAGTCATCAAAAGAATAATACACCTTATCAAAAATTAATTACATAATTTCTATAGCAACTTCCGGTCACCCCATCATGGGTCCACAACATATTTGATATAACACACTTTTCATTTTCAATCATAACATATCACAATTGTCTTATTTTCCTAAGATTTTCTACTGTTCCACAGAAGAAGAAGAAGAAGAAGAAGAAGAAGAAGAAGAAGAAGAGGAGTTTGGATTTGATATCCCGCCTTTCACTCCCTTTAAGGAGTCTCAAAGCGGCTAACATTCTCCTTTCCCTTCCTCCCCCACAACAAACACTCTGTGAGGTGAGTGGGGCTGAGAGACTTCAGAGAAGTGTGACTGGCCCAAGGTCACCCAGCAGCTGCATGTGGAGGAGTGGAGACGCGAACCTGGTTCACCAGATTACGAGACTACTGCTCTTAACCACTACACCATACTGTCATTCTGGGCCTGCCAACGACTTCAGATTTTTACAGTGCTCCCTAAGATATATTTTTTACATGCCCCTTTCTTTAATAAATGTTTGTTCAGTGCGGTCTCTTAGTTTTCCCATCATCATTGCTAGTTCTGCATACTCTAGCAGTTTCGACTGTCATTTCAGTTTAGTCAGAATTGAATCACCTTTCCAATTTCTGTCTATTGACATTCTTGCTGCTACAGTAGCATATAAAAATATCTTCCTCACCTGTTTAGGAATATCCGAGCCCATTATGCCCAAAAGAAAGGCTTCAGGGTTGTTGTTTGCAAAGGAGATCTTAAACATCTTTTTGAGCTCATTATAAATTACCTCCCAGAATTCCTTTTTTTTTTTTTTTACAGTTCCACCCCATGTGAAACATTGTGCCTTCCACTCTCATTTTCTTTTCTTTTTTTATATATACATTTTTATTGGTTTTTTTACATATCATTTTTAACAATTCTTTAACATAACTTCTTATCTTATACAATATTTTAGACTTCCGTCAACAACCTCTGATGATTTTCCGTTCTTTATCACTTATTCTGCATTTCTTAATTTCTCTATTACTCTTAATTATCATTAACTAATAATTCTCTTCATAGTCTTTCTTGCAATATTTCAAATAGTCCTCATTCTTGCAGTCCTATAAGCGTAATCTGTTCATTACAATTGCTTTTCAAATAGTTCCTATATTTACTCCAATCTTCTAAGAATCTCTGGTCCTACAGGTTTCAAATCCTTCCTGTTAATTTATCTAATTCTGCATATTCCATTAATTTCATCCGCCATTCTTCTTTCGTCGGTAATTCTTCTTGCTTCCATTTTTGTGCCAGTAATATTCTTGCCACCGTCACTGCATATAAAAACAACTTACAATCCTGTCTATTAATATCATCTCCAACAATGCCAAGTAAGAATGCTTCTGGTTTCTTAATAAATGTGTATTTCAACATCTTTTTCATCTCATTATATATCATTTCCCAGAAACTTTTTACTTTTTTACATTCCCACCACGTGCCTTCCACTCTCATTTTCAGGGTCGTGGGTCTGAGCCCCACTGTGGCGTTTGCCTCCTAGGTGGGTTATAAGGAACAGGTTAAATGAGTGTGAAGTGATTGGCCAGTGGGAACCCAAGGGGAGGAGTTAGAGTTAGCGTTGGAGTTGTTTGGAAGTCAGTTGGGAGTTGGAGAAGGAAGAGGTAGGATAGGTCTGTGGGTTGGTCGAGTTGTGTGGTGAGAGAGTGAGAGGAACTGTTAGGTGGAGTCAGATAGATAGTTGGGATACAGTGGTGCCTCGCAAGACGAAAAGAATCCGTTCTGCAAGTCTCTTCGTCTTGCGGTTTTTTCGTCTTGCGAAGCAAGCCCATTAACGGTTTAGCGGATTAGCGCTATTAGCGGCTTAGCGGGCTTAGCGGATCAGCTGATAAGCGGCTTAGTGGCTTAACGGATCAGCTGTTAAGCGGCTTAGCGGATCAGCTGATAAGCGGCTTAGTGGCTTAACGGATCAGCTGTTAAGCGGCTTAGCGGATCAGCTGATAAGCGGCTTAGTGGCTTAACAGATCAGCTGTTAAGCGGCTTAGCAGATCAGCTGATAAGCGGCTTAGTGGCTTAACAGATCAGCTGTTAAGCGGCTTAGCAGATCAGCTGATAAGCGGCTTAGTGGCTTAACGGATCAGCTGTTAAGCGGCTTAGCGGATCAGCTGATAAGCGGCTTAGCGATCAGCTGTTAAGCGGCTTAGCGGCTTAGCAGATCAGCTGATAAGGGCTTAGCGGCTTGGGGAAAAGGGGGGGGAGGGAAAAAACCCCGCAGGAACTCGCAAGACATTTTCGTCTTGCGAAGCAAGCCCATAGGAAATTCGTTTTGCGAAGCACCTCCAAAACGGAAAACCCTTTCGTCTAGCGGGTTTTCCGTCTTGCGAGGCATTCGTCTTGCGGGGCACCACTGTAATCAGTTTGAAGTTGTTAGGAACGTATAGGACAGTAAAGGAACTAAGATTAAGAAACTGACAAGAAAAATTAACTGAAACCTTAAACTTGTTCATGCTTATAAAAATAAACTTGATCATTTGTTAATGTTAACAACTGTCTGGACTCCGTGTGTACCCGAGAGAAACGGGTTGGTAGCAGCGAAGAGGCAATCACAGTGGTGGCACAGGGATCAGTAGACCGTCAAACGTCCAGGGACCCTGTGTGATCGCCACACCCACATTGGGCAAAAGATTCCTGCATTGCAGGGGTTGGACTAGATGATCTTCTCGGTCCCTTCCAACTCTACGATTCTATGAGCATAAAAAAGTTTTGCAGCTGCATTTTATTCTATTCTATTTGTAAGCTGCCTTGAAAGGGTTTTTACCCTTAAAGGCAGCCTAAAAACACCTTTTTTAAACCATCAAGCAAACACGTTTTCTGCATAGCTACTCATTTGTATGCTTTATCACAGGAATTCCACACAGGAGGAGGGCTTCTAATGGATGAAGTGCTTTCCTGTTTGATAGTGTACATTTCGCTCTAGGGATGGCGTCTTCCTCTTCTGTGGGTGGGGTTTTAATGGGGCAGGAGGCAGAGCCAGTGTCAACAAACACACACGCAAGCTTAAAATTACGCCACAGCTTGAGCCAGTGAATTATACACGCTTAAAAGTGCACAGTGAACGACCAGTCGCTGCCAAGAACACAGCATTTTAGATACTTACCCTGAAACCAACAAGCACCCAACACTTTCCCCCTCTCCTGATTGATTTAATTAAGCTGAGACTTGTTGCTGCTTGCCAGCACGTAATGCGTACAGTGGTACCTCAGGTTAAAAACTTAATTCGTTCTGGAGGTCCGTTCTTAACCTGAAACTGTTCTTAACCTGAAGTACCACTTTAGCTAATGGGGCCTCCTGCTGTCGCCGCCGCACAATTTCTGTTCTCATCCTGAAGCAAAGTTCTTAACCTGAAGCACTATTTCTGGGTTAGCGGAGTCTGTAACCTGAAGCGTCTGTAACCGGAGGTACCACCGTATTTTATATGTCGCTGTTTCTGGGCAGGGAGCATACAGCAAAGTTGTCATCAGACATCCATAGGCCTGGAGAGAGGTTTCTAGTTACACCAATTTATTGCAGCGTGACTCTTTGCAGATCCAGTTTCTTGAAAGAGATAACCAGATTCAGCTCTTTCTGCCAAGGAGCCGAAATGTCAGTGTGACAAGCTGATCCCTTACCCCACCATAACTTAATACATCCTGTGCATGCTTGGGAGGATGTTTTTGATGAACTAGCAACTTAATTTAGCAAGGAATTTCCAGCATGTGGCCAGTCTCCTCATGCACCAGCTATCAGGATTCACCTTGAATTGGACTGTGTGGGGAGCAGGAGGAGAGTTGGCTGGCCATTCCATCATTATGACTCAACTTGTGTCTCAGAATTGGCGGCGAGCGCAGGAAAAATTCCAGGAAAGCAAAAGCTGTCAAACAGACAAGATGGCACCAGTAGATTTCAAAATACATGGCTGCTTTCTAAAGGAGGCTCTTCCAAAACAGACACGGCATATTACTTATGGCTGGAATGGGAAGGCGGGGGTAGAGAAAACCTGTCGTACAGTATTGATTTACGGCAGAGAAGGAACTGAAAGGAATAAGGTCTAAAGGCAGGAAGGATTGCATGCCAATGACACAGAATCAGAGAATTGTAGCGATCCAAGGGACCCAAAGGGTCCGATCCCAAGCATTATCTCTCCCCTGCCACTTGTCTATCATCAGATGCCTGTGGCCTAAACCGCTGAGCCACTTGGGCTTGCCGATCAGAAGGCCGGAGGTTCGAATCCCCGCAACGGAGTGAGCTCCCGTTGCTCGGTCCCAGCTCCTGCCAACCTAGCAGTTCAAAAGCACACCAGTGCAAGTAGATAAATAGGTCCCGCTGCAGCGGGAAGGTAAACGGCATTTCCGTGCGCTCTGGTTTCCATTGCACCAGAAGCAGTTTAGTCATGCTGGCCACATGACCCGGAAAGCTGTCTGCGGACAAACACCAGATCCCTTGGCCTGAAGGCAAGATGAGCGTTGCAACCCCATAGCCGCCTTTGACTAGACATAACTGTCCAGGGATCCTTTTTTTAAAAAAAAGGTAATGACCCCTGACGGTTAAGTCCAGTCGCAGACGACTCTGGGGTTGCGGCGCTCATCTTGCTTTATAGGCCAAGGGAGCCAGGGTTTGTCCACAGACAGTTTGTCCGGGTCATGTGGCCAGCATGACTAAGCCACTTCTGGCGCAACAGAACACCAAAACCAGAGCAGCGCACGGAAATGCCGTTTACCTTTCCGCTTACCTTTTAAAAGCAACAATAAGCAGTCCAAGCGATGACAAGCATTCACCAAATCTGGGCATTTTTTCAAAGGTTGTGTACTGGAATTCTCCTGTTGTAACTTGATTTAGATCATACCCTCCAACATTTCTCTGATGAAAACGGAAACATCCTATTCCATTGTTCTTGTTGTTTTATATACCACCCACCTTACTGGGTTGCTCCAGCCACTCTGGGCAGCTTCCAACATATAAAAAAATCATAATAAAACATTTAAAAATTTCCCTATACAAGGCTGCCTTCAGATGTCTTCTAAAGGTTGTATAGTTACTTATCTCTTCAGCTCAGGGGTCGCATAATTCCACACCCTCCAACATTTCTCCGGTGAAAATAGGGACATCCTAAGGAAAAGCGGGACATTCCGGAATCAAATCAGAAATCGGGACGGCTTCTGTAAATCTAGGACCGTCCCTGGAAAATAGGGACACTTCAAGGGTTTGTTATATAAGCTGCCCTAGGAATATATATTTGTACATTGAAGGCAGCTATGCATTAAACACATGGAGAGATACACACACTTATATGAAAGTGAATACGAGGAATCCCAGTTGCTTTCCCCTTAATAACATAAAACATCCACGTCAATCTTAGGCGTCAATTGAACTGTCATAAATGGCATTACAGTGGTACCTCTGGTTATGAACTTAATTTTTTTCTGGAGGTCTGTTCTTAATCTGAAACTGTTCTTAACCTGAGGTACAACTTTAGCTTATGGGGCCTCCCGCTGCCACCGCACCACCAGCGCACGATTTCTGTTCTCATCCTGAGGTAAAGTTCTTAACCCGAGTTAGTATTTCTGGGTTAGCGGAGTCTGTAACCCGAAGTGTTTGTAACCCGAGGTGTTTGTAACCCGAGGTACCACTGTATTGGCCTATCCTTGCAGCGCCATCTCTTACAATTCCTCCCTCACGCCCAACAAACACAAAATGGATTCTAGTCTATGAAAACATCTGTCCAATCCAATTTCTCAGTCTTTTTAAGGTGCTGCAAGACTCTTGCGCTGTGTCTCTTAATGCTGCTCAAAGCAGGCATATCATTGCCCTGAGGCAGTCATATGCTAGAGCGATTAGCATCATAAATACCTAGAGATGTAGAGTCTTAGGAATTCCTATCTGTTTGTGACTCTATAAAATGCCCATCGAGGGTGTGGATGGACGGACAGGAATGGCCTAGTTATCTCTTCCTGCATATGACCTTCCAGTGGAAGCACTTGCGTTCCAACCCTAGCTCTTCCATGGCCTCCAGCAAGTTGCACTCACTCCCCTTCTTGGGGGTGGGGTGTGTGTGTCTGTTTCAGCTTTGCCTTTTTGTGGTGGAAAGTCCAGCTCTAAGGATTGAGTTCATCCATTTGCTTCGACCTTTTCTTCGCTCACACAAGATGGTTATCTTCTGCTCAAGAAATGGAATGTGGGAGCCAGAGCAGAACATGGACGGTACAGTGGTACCTCGGGTTACAGACGCTTCAGGTTACAGACGCTTCAGGTTGCAGACTCCGCTAACCCAGAAATAGTATCCCGGATTAGGAGCTTTGCTTCAGGATGAGAACAGAAATCAGGCTCAGGCGGAGCGGCAGCAGCAGGAGGCCTCATTAGCTAAAGTGGTACCTCAGGTTAAGAACAGTTTCAGGTTAAGAACGGACCTCCAGAACGAATTAAGTTCTTAACCCGAGGTACCACTGTATTTCATTTTGCTGCAGCACTGTGTGCCCATCACTTCCTCAAGGAACCATGCTATAGGTTCTGGTTTCCTTTGGAGGAGACCCACGGTGGGATGCTACTGCTGCTGCTGTTGTTGTTGTTGAGTTTTTGCAATATTTGCTTTATTCAGGTAAGCGGTTGTACGAGAGAACAGACCCAACATTAGGTACCCAGAGAGAAGCAGCTGCATCTAATCAACCTGAATGTTGGAAGATTTAGACAAAAAGACGGCCTCGGCCCAATATACCTGAAGGAGCATCTCCACCCCCATCGTTCTGCCCGGACACTGAGGTCCAGTGCCAAGGGCCTTCTGGCAGTTCCCTCACTGCAAGAAGCAAAGCTAAAGGGAACCAGGCAGAAGGACTTCTCAGTAGTGGTGCCCGCCCTGTTTAGGGAAGTTTTTAATGTGTGACTTTTTAATGTATTTTTAATCTTTGTTGGAAGCCACCCAGAGTGGCTGGGGAAACCCAGACAGATGGGCGGGATACAAATAATAAATTGTTGGATTATGGAACTCACTGCCACAAGAGGTGCTGATTGCCACCCAACTGGATGGTTTTAAAAGAAGACTGGGCAAATTTGTGGACAATAAAGGTCTCAATCACTCCTAGCCATGGCGTCTATGTTTTGTCTCCACTGTTGGAGGTCGTATGCTTCTGAATTACAGTTGCCAGAAGCCATAGGAGGAAAGAGGGCTGATGTGCTCAAGTCCTACTTTCAGGCTTCCCATAAGTTAGCTACTGTGAGAGCAGGATGCTGGGTTCATCACAATGACAATGCGGTTACACGATTTAGATAATTAATTACGTAAAGTACATAAGTTGCATGAATTCACCACAGTGGGCAGGGAGACCAATAATGCAGAAGATGAACTGCAACGGAATGGAAACAGCACTGCACAGAAACTAATGCAGGGCAGAGTAGGAAATGATGTCTTATTGTCTCCCTAAAGATAAAAGACCCCTGACCATTAGGTCCAGCTGTGACCGACTCTGGGGTTGCGGTGCTCATCTCGCTTTATTGGCGAAGGGAGCCAGCGTACAGCTTCCAGGTCATGTGGCCAGCATGACTAAGCTGCTTCTGGCGAACCAGAGCAGCACACGGAAACACCGTTTACCTTTCCGCCGGAGTGGTACCTATTTATCTACTTGCACTTTGATGTGCTTTCAAACTGCTAGGTTGGCAGGAGCAGGGACTGAGCAACGGGAGCTCACCCCGTTGCGGGGATTCGAACCGCCGACCTTCTGATCGGCAAGTCCTAGGCTCTGTGGTTTAACCCACAGGGCCACCCGCGTCCCTAGGCTCTACCAAATTTCATAGTGTCCCTCTTTGCCAGGCCCCACCAAATTCTATCTTGTTTCTGCTCCAGAGTGAACACGTACCCTCCCAAGAGGTGACCTTCTCTACCTGCCTGGTCACACCCACTGACTATCAGAAGAGTGGGGGGATACTTTAAAAACTTGCAGCCCTCTTTGCTCTGGATGTAACAAGAATGGATCTACTTTCAGCTATCAAGTGCCGGAAGTCACACGATTCTAGTTTGAAAACGCTGCACAAAAATAGACTGCTCCCGATCCCACCGAAGCCAATGGCAAAACATATATACTTTTCATTCAATATCTGAGCCTTCGTTTTTTGGTTTGTTTTTTCAAAACCACAGAATGTGGATTGGCAACATTATAAGACTTGGGAGGGTTATTATAGATGCTCTTTTATTAATGTGAATGCGGTCAGATTGTTTCTTTGGAGGTGCAGACGGAGGGAGATTTATTAAAAGCAGCCTCTGGGCAACTACCAGAGATTAAGAAAAATGTAGCTAACTACCTGTTATGTCAAGTTTCATTTTCCAGATCAAAATTCACTGTGTCAGCGGGTTTCCTTTGTTGTTAATTGAAAAGAAAGAGGAAAAAACCAACCACACAAACACGCACAGAGAGAACTTTGTATGCACTGGAGAACTTCACAAGACTAGCTCACAAGATTTATATTTTCTAAATGGCTGTTATTTTCTACTTAAAACAGAGCTTCAGATAAAAGGCAGAGGCACTTAGATAATGGTGAGCCAAGGCGTTTGATGATGTTGTTCCCATGATTTCTGTACACCAATCCAGACACACTGGATGGCTCATGCAAAACGGATGAAAGCGACAACCATGTAATACAAATTATTATGGGCACAATCTAGCCAAAGGTACGCTCATTTAACTTTTAAAAGCTCCAATATACAGGCTTCTGTTGTAGCACAGACAGCATAACTAAACATCCAATGTCTATCCAGAGATGGCTGAGGGCAGATTTTCTGCATTGCAGGGGGTTGGACTAAATGACCCTTGGGATCCCTTCCAACTCTTGATTCTATGATTCTACCATCTTTACACCTGCGCAGGTGTTGATTGCCACACTCTTTGCTTTCTGAAAGGACTGCAGAAGGACCGTCTCTGGTTCACATGCTTATGGGACGGCTGTGCTTTGACCCTTTAAATAACTCATTGCCAAACCCACCAATTGAACAATTTGGATCTGAAATCCTCCAGCAAACGAATCTTTCTGAAGAACTGCGTAAGTCCTGCTAGGCATCTTCCTTTGTGATCTTGTTGTCGCCGCTGCTGCCCTTTCAGATTGCACCGCTGCCCACAGGAGTTCCACGTCAACCTGACTGTAAACCCTGGGATTGTGAAGAAGGAGAAGGAGAAGGAGAAGGAGAAGGAGAAGGAGGAGGAGGAGGAGGAGGAGGAGGAGGAGGAGAAGAAGAAGAAGAAGAAGAAGAAGAAGAAGAAGAAGAAGAAGAAGAAGAAGAAGAAGAATTTATTATTTATACCCCGCCCATCTGGCTGGGTTTCCCCAGCCACTCTAGGCGGCTTTCAACAGAATATTAAAATACAATAGTCTATTAAACATTAAAAGCTTTCCTAAGCAGGGCTGCATTCAGATGTCTTCTAAAAGTCTGGTAGTTGTTTTTCTCTTGGACATCTGGTGGGAGGGCATTCCACAGGGCGGGTGCCACTACTGAGAAGGCCCTCTGCCTGGTTCTGAGGGAACTGCCAGAAGGCCCTCGGCGCTGGACCTCAGTGTCCGGGCAGAATGATGGGGGTGGAGACGCTCCATCAGGTATACTGGACACGGGCCGTTTAGGGCTTTAAAAGTCAGCACCAACACTTGAATTGCACTCGGAAACATACTGGGAGCCAATGTAGGTCTTTCAGGACCGGTGTTATATGGTCTCAGTGGCCGCTCCCAGACACTAGTCTAGCTGCCGCATTCTGGATTAGTTGTAGTTTCCGGGTCACTTTCAAAGGTAGCCCCACATAGAGCGCATTGCAGTTGTCCAAGCGAGAGATAACTAGAGCATGCACCACTCTGGCGAGACAGTCCGCGGGCAGGCAGGGTCTCAGCCTGCATACCAGATGGAGCTGGTAGACAGCTGCCCTGGACACAGAATTAACCTGCGCCTCCATGCACAGCTGTGAGTCCAAAATGACTCCCAGGCTGTGCACCTGGTCCTTCAGGGACACAGTTACCCCATTCAGGACCAGGGAGTCCTCCACACCTGCCTACCTCCTGTCCGCCAAAAACAGTACTTCTGTCTTGTCAGGATTCAGCGTCAATCTGTTAACCGCCATCCATCCTCCAACCGCCTCCAGACACTGACACAGGACCTTCACCGCCTTCACCGGTTCTGATTTATCATCCGCATACTGATGAACACCCAGCCCAAACCCCCTGATTATCTCTCCCAGCGGCTGCATGTAGATGTTGAAAAGCATGGGGGAGAGGACAGAGCCCTGAGGCACCCCACAAGTGAGATCCCAGGGGTCTGAACACTCATCCCCCCCTCCCACTTTCTGAACAGAGCCCAGGAGGAAGGAGCGGAACCACTGTATAACAGTGCCCCCAGCTCCTAGCCCCTCTAGACAGTCCAGAAGGATGTTATGGTCGATGGTGTCAAAAGCCACTGAGAGATCCAGCAGAACTAGGAAACAGCTCTCACCTTTGTCCCTAGCCCGCTGGAGATCATCAACCAGTGCGACCAAGGCAGTTTCAGTCCTATGATGAGGCCTGAATCCTGACTGGAAGGGATCCAAATGGACATAATCCAGCAGGACATAATCCAGTTTTACAATTTACATTTATATTCAAATAATAGCCATAATCATACACATATGATCCCCTGAATCCTTGCATTTCCCTCCACCCCTCAATGGGTTCCATTGCCAATCTGTTTTCAATTGCATCTTACAATATTTTCCATCTTTTCTTAAAATTCCCTTTTTAACCATTGTACTTGTTACATTACAAGTGTTATTACAATCCTGCCAAAGTTTTTAGTTGTTTACAGTGTTCTCCGAGGTCACTTATAAATTTCCCCTATTCCTCATTAAAATTTCTATGTTCCTGGTTTCTAATCTTACTGGTCATTTTCGCCATTTCAGCATAGTCCATCATCTTTATCAGCCACTCTGGTTGGGACTTTATCTTCTTTCCATCTCTGGGCCAGAAGTATCCACACTGCCGTCGTCGCATACATAAATAATCTCTTCTTTTCCTTAGCCTATTGGAAGGTATGGAATAGGACATCCCTATTTTCATCGGAGAAATATTAGAGGGTATGGAGAGGGTATGCAACCGCCAAGCCAAGGAGATAAGTAACTATACAACCTTTAGAAGACATCTGAAGGCAGCCCTGTATAGGGAATTTTTCTTTTAATGTTTACTGTTTTATTATGTTTTTATATATGTTGGACGCCATCCGGAGTGGATGCCGGTGGTGCTGTGGGTTAAACCACAGAGCCTAGGACTTGCCGAACAGAAGGTCAGCGGTTCGAATCCCCGCAACAGAGTGAGCTCCCGTTGCTCAATCCCTGCTCCTGCCAACCTAGCAGTTCATAGCACACCAGTGCAAGTAGATAAATAGGTACCGCTCCAGTGGGAAGGTGAACAGCGTTTCCGTGCACTGCTCTGGTTCGCCAGAAGCGGCTTAGTCATGCTGGCCACATGACCCGGAAGCTGTACGCCGGCTCCCTCGGCCAATAAAGCGAGATGAGTGCTGCAACCTCAGAGTCAGTCACGACTGGACCCAATGGTCAGGGGTCCCTTTACCTTTACCTTTATGTTTTTATATATGTTGGATGCCATCCAGAGTGGCTGGAGGCAAACATGCTTTCACAAGCATGAGGTCTAGAAACCTGCGATGCCTGCCAGTTAATAAGTGGTGCATAAACTATGAATGCTCATGGTGAGCAATACACTCTGCTATATGATGACATGAGGAGACTAAGCCTCCTTTCTAAGAAATAACACAGCTTTCCTTCAGTTTCCCAGTCTGCCCGGTTGCCAGCCACCCAGTGTCAAGCATTACCTCAGCTCGGTTCTTTTTTCCTTTCTCTTCCCTCTATGTAAACTGAGAGAACTCTGAAGCATGAGTTATCCAGATTCTGGAAATACTTGGAAAATACCAGTTTTTCAGAGTCTTGGCTCCATGCCATGTTTTTCTGGGAGGCTCTCCAGGTAGCAGAAAATAGCAAAGCCTACAAAAACAGGGGGTGGGGGGAGGAGCAGAGGAATTTTTGGGGGGAGGCAATATAAAATTCAACCTTTCTTTTCTTTCTTTTTAAAAATATTTTTTTATTTGATTTTACAAGTATAAAATTTTAGCAATACAACCGTACGCATCCACATTTGTAGATTCATCCAAAACTCTGGACTTTCGAAATTCCCCTCCATGGGTCCTATTGTTAACCTTTTCAACTGCATATTATTCATCAGTCCATACTTTATATCACTCCATTTTATCCATAATATTTGTTACATTACGAGTGCTATTGCAATCCTGCTAATGTTTTCATCTGGTCTCCAAGATAAATAAAAAAAAATCCCCATTCTTTGTTAAAGTTTTGGTCCTCTTGGTTCCTGCTTTCTGGTAAGTTTTGCCATTTCGGCATAATCCAACAGTTTAGTTTGCCATTCTTCTCTCTCTTGTCTTCTTTCCATCTCTGGGCTAGCAACATCCGTGCGGCTGTCGCCGCATACATAAAAAGTCTTTTCTGCTTAAAATTCAAGCTTTCTTAGGCGAAAGCTTGGATTTGCTTGAGGAAATCAACAGAACCGGGCATCCTCCTGCTGGAACGTAGCCAGTTCAAAAGTTCAGAGCCAGGGCCCCTCCTGATTGGCCAGCATCCTTTCGCAGATGCATTCCACGCCATGTCACGGACGCAATAAAAGTGCATCAGTGGTGGGTTTATGCTGGACCGTCCACACTTCATTCCACCCGATCATTTGTTCTGTGATGCTCCCCCAATGTTACAGCATTGGTTGCTGCAGCAAGGGTACCACATTTTAACTGTTGCAGTGCAGACCCAGGTCATCAAGTCTGAGCTTCCGCGGCTGCCATCACCTGCCATTTTTAAAAAAGGAAAGGTAAAGGACCCCTGTACAGTTAAGTCCAGTCAAAGGCGACTACGGGGTTGTGGCGCTCATCTCGCTTTCAGGCCGAGGGAGCCGGCGTTTGCCCACAGACAGCTTTCTGGGTCATGTGGCCAGCATGACTAAACTGCTTCTGGACACCATGACGGAAACCAGAGCACACAGAAACGCCATTTACCTTCCTGCCACAATAGTACCTGTTTATCTACTTGCAATTTGTACTTGTAAAAACAAATGTAAAAATATTACACACACAAACAAAAATGGTTTCTTGCCCTAATCTGATTAGCCATCAGAAGCCTTGGAAATCCCATGTACCTCTTCCCTCTAGAGGAGGGGCTGGGCAAATTCACACACCTTGAGATGCACCTCCAAAAGGACATCTTGCAGTTTCTGAAGGAATTACTAAACTGCTTCTTTTCTTCTCAATTGGCCAAGGTTTTGTTCTCTTGCACATGGCGCAGAGTGTTCTTGTACAAAAGAGAACAATCTACACCGTGTGCAAGAGAACATCACTGCTAAACCACAAGAGCCACGTAGCGTCGGGTAAGGCACAGTCACCACTTCTGTGCTTCTGAGTTTAAGGGAAATGGCATTTGGTGAAACTCTGTGGATGCTGATACTATACGTGACCATTTCTATTCATTCCTTGCTGTTTGCATGGGGAGTTTATTATCGTCTTACCAGGACCCACCTGCCTCGAGGAATAAGCTGTCGTGCAATATTACTCCTTGCCGATTTCTTAGTGGGATATGTACTTGTACTGGTAAGTTTCTTTATATATATGTCACGGGATTGAAGTCACACCCTCTACAATTAATAATAATAATAATAATAATAATAATAATAATTTTATTATTTTTATGCCGTCCATCTGGCTGGGTTTTCTCTGAGCAGCTTCCAGCAAAATATAAAACCATAATAAAACAATCAAACATTAAAAACTTCCCGTACAGGGCTGCCTTCAGATGTCTTCTGAAATCTGTGTACAGTGGTACCTCAGGTTAAGTACTTAATTCGTTCCGGAGGTCCGTTCTTAACCTGAAACTGTACTTAACCTGAAGTACCACTTTAGCTAATGGGGCCTTCCACTGCTGCCGCGCCACTGGAGCACGATTTCTGTTCTCATCCTGAAGCAAAGTTCTTAACCTGAAGCACTATTTCTGGGTTAGCGGAGTCTGTAACCTGAAGCGTATGTAACCTGAAGCGTATGTAACCTGAGGTACCACTGTAGTTCCTTATCTCCTTGATATCTGATGAGAGGGCGTTCCACATCTGAAATATTTTAGTTTACAGAAATGGCGAGTAACAGGCGACATGATAGAAGTTTATAAAATTATGCATAACATAGAGAAAAGTCTTCCTCCCTCAATTATGACAAGCAGACCTTGTGGACATCAAGTGAAGTTGCACGTTGGAAGATTCAGGAAGGATAAAAGCAAGTACCGTATTTTTCCATGTATAAGACGGTGCTTTTTGCTAAAAAAAAAATTAGGCAAAAATTGGGTGTCGTCTTATACACAAATAGTGAATGCAGAGGGGGGAGGTGCAACTAATGGCAGCAGCAAGCAGGAGATTGGCAGCGTCGATTGGGCGGGTGATTGGTGGCTGCAGCAAGGCCTGCTGGTGATTGGCTCCGGCTGTGGCAATTGGGCAGGCGATTGGAGGCTGTGGCAAGGCAGGCAGGTGATTGGCGGCTGCAGCAAGTGGGTGGGTGGGCTGTTGGTGGCGTTGAGCGGGCAGACAATTGGCGGCTGCGGCAAGGTGTGCGATTGGCAGTGGCTGTGGCAAACGATCGGCAGTGGTGGGCAGGCAGGTGAGCGAATGGTGGAAGTGACCTCCCCCATCCCAAAAGCTAAGTAATTTCTTAATTTGGGGTTTAAAATATAAGGATGGGGCGTCTTATACACGGAAAAATACGGTATGTCTTCACACCAGACATATTCAAACTATGGAAGTCACTCTCACCGGAGGCAGTGATGGTTGCCAAGTTGAATAGCTTCTGAAGGCGATTAGGCAAATTCACGGAGGAGAAAGCTATGGATGTCTGCTAGGCTCCATGGCTCTGCTCTGCCTCCACAACTGGAGGCCACGATGCTTCTGAATACCAGTTGCTGGAAGGGGAGAGGACTCCTGTGCTCAGATCCTGCATGGCAGTTTCCCACAGGAACTGTGAGAACAGGCTGCTGGACTAGATGGGCCACTGGCCAGGTCCAACAAGCTCTTTTTACATTCTTATGTACACACACACACACACACACACACACACACACAGAAATATCTTCAAGCCACCCCAATCTCTGAGTGGTGAATGAAAGGATATAGTAGGTTTCCGAGCACAATTCAAAGTGTTGGTGCTGACCTTTAAAGCCCTAAATGGCCTCAGTCCAGTATACCTGAAGGAGCTGAATTCAGCTTGGACACTGAGGTCCAGCTCCGGGGGCCTTCTGGCGGTTCCCTCACTGCGAGAAGCCAAGTTACAGGGAACCAGACAGAGGGCCTTCTTGGTAGTGGCGCCAAGAACACCCTCCCACCAGATGTCAAAGAGAACAACAACTACCAGACTTTTAGAAGACATCTGAAGGCAGCCCTGTTTAGGGAAGCTTTTAATGTTTAATAGGTTATTGCATTTTAGTGTTCTGTTGGAAGCCACCCAGAATGGCTGGGGGAACCCAGCCAGATGGGCAGGGTATAAATAATAAATTGTTGTTGTTGTTGTTGTTGTCGTCGTCATTCAGTGCAGACCCTCCAAGAGTCCCAATGTTCCAGGGATAGTCCCAGATTCACAGAAGCCGTCCCGCTTTCTGATTTGATCCCGGAATGTCCCACTTTTCCTTAGGACGTCCCTATTTTCATTGGGAAAATGTTGGAGGGTATGAAGTTAACCAATCCCCAAGCCATCTGATGGCAGCCCTGTATTGGGAAGATTTTTTAAAAAATGTTTAATGTTTTCTTATGTTTTTATATATGTTGGAAGTCATCCAGAGTGGCTGGGGCAACCCAGTCAGATGAGTGGGGTATAAATAATAAAGTTGTTGTTGTTGTTAAATAGGACATCCCTATTTTCATCGGAAAAATGTTGGAAGGTATGACAGTTTCCTCACATGTGAGGGGTTTGTTCCACAGGCTGCGTATATATGCAAATATGGGAGTGGCCGCCAAGACCATATAGCATTGGTCCTGAAAGACCTACATTGGCTCCCAGTACATTTCCGAGCACAATTCAAAGCCCTAAACAGCCTTGGCCATGTATAGCTGAAGGAGCGTCTCCACCCCCATTGTTCAGCTAGGACACTGAGGTGCAGCTCCGAAGGTCTTCTGGCGGTTTCCTCACTATGATAAGTGAAGCTACAGGGAACCAGGCAGAGGGCCTTCTCAGTAGTGGTGCCCACCCTGTGGAACGCCTTCCCATCAGATGTCACGGATATAAATAAATATCTGACTTTTACAAGACATCTGAAGGCATCTTAGGGAAGTTTTTAATGTTTGATGTTTTATTGTGTTTTTTATATTCTATTGGGAGCCACTCAGAGTGGCTGGGGAAACCCAGCCAGATGGGCAGGGTATAAATAATTTTTTTTAATTAGTAGTAGTAGTAGTAGTAGTAGTATTGCAAAACTTTCAAAGGCTGAGGGCTGATAATAAATTCTGAATATTTTGGTTTAAACAGGGAGTGCTTCTGGAAAAACTGGGCATTTGCCATAGGTATATCATCTGGAGGGCTGTGTACAAAGCAATGCCACCAATAAAGGACTCAAAGTTGATCATAAAGGACCTGGTTTTCGATGAGGTGCCCGTGAGGGTATACTGGCCCAAGACATCACATGCTGGGAACAGGAGAGGAGTCATCTATCTTCATGGAGGTGCTGGACTCTTTGGAAGCATCCGTAAGTTCTTTGAAATAGTTTCAAAATGGTTCACGATATCATCTGAGTAGAATTTGGGGTGGTACTTTCATGTAAAGTTCCTGGGAGTGGTTTGTACTGCTCCTGTAGGCAGTTTAAGTTTAGTGTCAGGGTCAAGGAAAAAAATCCTTAAAATATCAAAGGTTTTTTTCTGATTCGTGCCTCAAAGGACTTCTATGAAAGGGCTTCCAGAGGTGATTGGAAATAACTGGAAAGAAGCCCAGAAATGTGGGTGGAAGTTTGGTTCTGTTCTGATTTTTACCCATTGACACTGCTCTGTTACTGATCAGTAAAATCCACATAATGGTTTTCAGCTGGTGGTGCCCCATTGACAAAGAGTTCAGTCCAACTCAGCTTTTCTCAGATGAGATTCATGGAAAGTCGCTGTTTTCTACAATCAGGTGTCATATACACCTCATGACATAAAAATAAATAAATAGGCAGATCGAAATTAGTCCTATCTTTTTATTTTCGACAGATTTACTTTCAGTAGGACTAGCATTGCACCCAACTCACAATGATTTCAATGTGAATGACCAGGAAAAAAATGGTAACGGGGGGGGGGGGGCTTGTGCTTTCTTCCAGGAGCCTCTGAAAGGGTTTGTCATTCCATTGCCCACCTAAGTGATTCAGTAGTTGTGAGTGTCGGGTAAGTGGCTTCACTCTCATTATATCAGAAGGAATGTGTAATGCCCCCCAGCTTCTACCTTTCCGAAGACCTAAACCAATAATAATAATAAGAATAAGAATAATAATAATAAATTTTTTATTTATATGCTCCCCATCTGACTGGGTTGCCCCAGCCACTCAGGGCAGCTTCCAACAAAACACTAAATTACAATAACCTATTAAACGTTAAAAGCTTCCCTAAACAGGGCTGCCTTTAGATGTCTTCTAAAAGTTTGGTAGTTATTTTTCTCTTTGACATCTAGTGGGAGGGTGTTCCACAGGGCGGGTGCCACTACCGAGAAGGCCCTCTGCCTGGCTCCCTGTAACTTGGCTTCTCGCAGTGAGGGAACCGCCAAAAGGCCGTCGGCGCTGGACCTCAGTGTCTGGGCAGAACGATGGAGGTGGAGACACTCCTTCAGGTATATTGGACCGAGGCCGTTTAGGGCATCCATGACAGATGGCCAAAATGGCCTGTATGTGATTGAATGTGGGCAACCTTTTGCTTTCTTTTTAGATTCCGTTTAGCTCCTGAGCATCCGTATCCAGTCCCATTCCTGGACTGCTGTACTGCTGCAATCCACTTTCTGAAGAATGCAAAGGAATACAGAGTGGACCCCAACTGCATCGCCATTGTTGGGGAGAGTAGCGGGGGGACATTTGCTGCAGCCGTTTGTCAAGAGCTGGTGACCAGAGAGGACCTGCCAAGACTGCGAGGTCAGGTCCTGATCTACCCATTCCTACAAACCGGGGACTTTGATTTGCCCTCCTATCAGCAAAACCAAGCAGTCCCTCCCTTGTTCAGGAAACGAGCTGTCCATTTTGGCTTGAGACATCTCACCGGGAAGGAGATCGATGTGGACGGAGTTATCAAAGGCGCCCATGTCCCTTACGATTTGAGGGAGAAATACCGGAAATGGGTCAACGTTGATTACATTCCAGAAGAATTCAAGGCTAGGGGCTATGTCCCTAAAGCACCTGCCCCGTTTTCAGAAGAACTTTACGAGCAAGTTAAAAGAGCTGGAGAGACCATCTATGCTCCACTTCTAGCGGAGGATCACATAATCCGCCAACTCCCTGAGACTTTCATTCTAACCTGCGAGTATGATGTCCTCCGGGACGACGGGCTGTTGTACAAGAAGCGGTTAGAGGACAACGGGGTGCCGGTGACATACCACCATCTTCCAGACGCAAGCCATGCAACCATGAGCTTTTACGCTATGGGGCCGCTTGAATTACCGAGCTCCAAGATATGCATGCAGCATGTAGTACAGTTCTTAAAAGGTTTATAGGAACGAAATGTATAAGATGAGAAATAACTACCTGCTTTGTAAAGTCCTGCAAATCTTTTGCCTTTCATTTTGGGCGCTATCTTTTTCCATCTTTCATACACGGATATGTCCTTGTTATTTCAATTAAGACTAGCAGAAAGAATTGCAGGGGCTCATAGTTTCAAGCATATAAATCTAGGGCAGCTGTGGTTCAAGTCACCAAAACATGGAAATAGAGTTTCCTACAAACCGATCCTCTTCCCTGAGGCCAGCTCAACGGCTGTGATGAGTCACCGATTCAAAAACGATTTCAAAATGATGGCAGCATTAATTTCCAGAATCGATAAACCATAGGATGCATTGATGCACTTTTCTGTTACATCCCACCTTTCATCTAAGTCAGGATTGGTCCCTAGTTTTGAGGATTGTGCCCTAGGTCACATGACCATGCTGAACAGGGTTTGGAACGGCTAAAAGTCTCTCCCTGCGTCCCACCATGCGCCTGAAATTTGTCAGTCTGCTCCACAGAGCAGTCTAGCTGAGATACAATTAATGAGGAAGGATGATCGTTACAAACATTTCCACTTTTAAATTAATTTGTTTCACTTTCTATATGTGTGTGTGTGTGTGTGTGTGTGTGTATACATACACACACACACACACGCATACATACTTGAAGCTATGTGCAAATTAAAAGCAACTGGGGGGGGAATAAAAGGCTAAAATTAAAATGGAGCATAATACCAAAGCTACTAAATAACAGCACCTTAGCAGCACGAATTTTTTTTTCAATAAATAACATTATCGGTCAATATACCTTGTGGCAGAAGAGAAGCAGAGACATTGTCAGATGAGCTTCCTTGGGCAGGCAGTTTCAATTAGTAGAAACGACCAAAGACAAACCTCAAGAATGAAAGCAGATTGTGGGATACCCTGATTTTCCAGGGACAGTCCCAGAATTATGAAAGCCATGCCAGCTTCTGATTTGATCCCGGAATGTCCCTATTTCCCCCGCCAGCACTGAGAGCTCAGGGAGGAGAATGAGCCGGCGCTTGTCGTGAGCAACGACAGCGGCAGCGGCTGCTGCAAAGGAGCATCCCGTTGCCTCTCCATGACTGCTGCTGCTGGCCTCCTCCCTTGGGCAGCTCATAGCAACTGCTAGAGGGTGGGCAAGGAGGAACAGAATCTGCTGCCACCAAGGCCTGCCTCACATGATGCACTGGCTCCAGGGCCGTCTTTAGTATTAAGTTGTGGGTGAACATATCAGACAATCAGACAGCGATTCTTCAAACAGCTCTTGTTTATTCAGAGGCCAGAACAGAACTGAACTGAAGGGTTCAGTCAGCCTGCATATATAGAGCTCCAGTACAACGTAACTGTAACAATTTTCTAAAACTATCCAATCACTGAATGTCACTTTCAATCCCTTATTTGCATAACTATGTACAGTATCCCCCTGCTGGCCCAGGGTGAGAACTTCAGTACATAACATTTAGCATATGTGGCGCCGGGGTGCAACGATCCGCCCAGCACCCCCATAGTTGTTGAGCTTTTAAGGAGGGAAACAGCGAAAACCGCTAACATGAAAAAATAAAAAGCGGCAGCGATAACTCCGCCTTTCCGTTTTTGCGATCATGCGAAAATGAAAGACACCGCTGGGGGCACCGCTGGATACGTTGATTCTTCAGCTCTTCCGCAAAAGAGAACGGAAATGACCCATCGACCACCCATCGACCAAGCTCACGGTTAAGAGCTTAGGTGGCTTCAGCAGTGGGCGCCCCACAGAATTCGATGCCCGGGTGCACCGCACCCCTTGCACCCCCGGGTAAAGACGGCCCTGGCTGGCTCGGAGGGGCAGGCAGATGCCAGCACCACCCTGGATAGTAAGAAGGGGGAACAGAGCGGAGCACTATGGTTCTTGATTTTTAAATAAAAAATGCTTTGTGTGTCTGTGTCTAATCTTTCCCTTCTAAAATGTATTTATTGGCTTGTGTTTTCCTTCTTGCAAATCTACCAAAGAATAGAATAGAATAGAATAGAATAGAATAGAATAGAATAGAATAGAATAGAATGGGTTTTCTCAGGACGGTGGAGGGTGTGTGTGCTATGTCCCATTGGTCTTGTAGTGCCTTTTTCTGATAGGAAATGCTATGCAGTGGGAGGGTCACCAAAAATGGGAAGTTAAGGATTGTTCATTGGAGGGAGGATTGAGAAATGTCCCTACTTTCATCTGAGGAATGTTGCAGGTCTGGATCACGGCTGGCTTTAACCCTGATGCAATGCGGTCTGAACTACGGCTAGGAGATTGGGAGTACTCCATAGAACCTTGTGCTGATCATCATCCCTCTTCCCTTCCACAATGGCTTTCCCTCCTCTCACAACCCTGGCCCTCCAGCCTTCAGGTTTCTGTATCAGTGTTTTGTTTTGTTGTTTCCCCCCCCAATATTTACTGAGTTTCATACAAACACATTACTTCACTAAAACAAAAATAAGAACAATAATAATAAAAGAAAAGGGGGGGGGAATAATAATACAAACCTACCAGATAATAACCAAGAATACAACCACATACACAGTACAATGAGACTTAATTAGTTAGTTAATCTTCCAACTTCATAAACATATTACTTGACTTCCTCTAATCTCTTCCATCTGAATTTCCATGTAACTGAATGTAGCAGTTTTCCAATATCATTATTCAAAAAACAATATTCCGGTTATAATATAATTTATTAACTTTTCATGTCGTTCTATTTCTCAATTATTTATTCAATCCTAATTTAATCCTAGGCCTATTTAGTTCTTTCAAGTAATTACTAATCTTTAATGTTACTGTATTTGTTCAAATAATCTTTAAATTTCTTCCAGTCTTCTTGATATTCCTCTTCTTTCTGGTCGCGGATTCTCCCAGTGAGATCAGCCAGCTCCATAAAGTCCATCATATTCATCTGCCTCTGTATCCTTGTTAGCACAAACCATAGGTAGCCTCAACCATAGTTTGTAAACCCCCTTCTAACTCAAACCACAAGCTGTAGTTGTAAAGTTAACATCCCCATACATGCAAACATGACACTACCTGGTACAGTGGAACCTCGGTTTTCAAGCGTCTCGGAAGGCCAAACGATTCGGAACCCAAATGCTGAAAACCCGGAAGTGAATGTTTCCGTTTTCAAACGCGCATCAGAAGTTGAATGGCTTCCAAGGTGCATTTTTCCATTTTTCTCAATGGAATTTGCTGACCGCCCATTGCGCCTTGGTTGTCAAGCGTTTCGGAAGTCAAACAGCCTTCTGGAATGGATTATGTTTGATAACCGAGGTTCCACTGTATTAACTGATAAACCATAATTTAACTTCCAGACTGAAAAGTAAGCAGAATGATGTCCAGATGATAGTATAGGGTGGGGAGGATGCAGTTGAGTGCTCCTAACCATGTTTGCAAACCTACTAAGAGCCCTGCTAGATCAAGACCAAAGTCCTATCTAGCCACATTGGCTCACCAGATACCTATAGGAAGCCCATAAGTAGAACTTAGGTGTGATAGTGTGATAGGAATTTTATGGTCTTAGATATATGGCAATGTTCATAACCGCACATACATAGATCAACACAGGAAGGCCAACCTGGAACCATTTTGATTCCTAAACTGACCAAATGTTCAGTTTGGTCAAACTGGAAAAGTCTTCCCATTGTCTCTTTCCTCACAAATCCTGTCTTAAGGACACATTTAAGATATGAATAGGGTGTGAGCCTGTGACCTGGCCCAGGAAATAAGTATTTTACCACTACAAAAGAATGGCCAGGCTCCCCAGGCAATCCAATCAAGCAACTTGCCAGACAGGAGATAAACTGTGACAGGAGAAAAACAACATTTAAATTTCTGTGATGTAGGTGGGATGTATCTGAGGGGTGGTCTTAGGTTACACCCCTTCTGTGATGTATGCATAATGTTTCTGGGGGTGTTCTTGATCTAGAGAATGGGAATTTCAAAAGTCTTTATAAGCCCTTGCACAGCATTTTGGGGGGTCCTCTTCCTCTCCTGCGTGTGAGGGGAGCACCCTGTTGCAACAGATTAATAAAGATCAAGCTTACTAGCTGCTTTGCTTCTCAATATTCTCTGGTTGGCCTGTGTTATTTTCTCCTACCAATAGGGAACCTATGTAAGGACTCTATATGGGCTCTTGGATACCCCATAAGGGAAAAGGGCATATTTTTTATTTACAACAATAGCAGAACATGAAGTCAATAGTTAGGAGAACAGGCAGTGTGATACCTGCCTGAAGCCCAAGCAACAACTTGCTAAATTCAAATGCTATTACATCTTCCCACTAAATATCACAAAACCCATCTGCATTCATACCTGAGAATGGGGGACGGGGAAATCTGTTTTTATTGCAAGCAAATTAATCTGAGTAGAACTTCTCTTTCTCCTTTTCAGATTCTTGCCTTCCAAAACTCAGAATGAACCATGGTTTGATTTTGATCGCTCAGTTCTTATTCTCCTCCAGGAAGTTTACAGACCTCCAAGGTTTGGGCAATATGTCAAAAGCGAGTTAGGTGCTGTGTTTAAATATGCCCCTCCTCCGAGAAGCATAAAATTATACCTTTGTGTGGCCTGTTTGAAGTGCCCCCCTGACAGTCATTTCTGATCTTCAGTGAGAACTTTTCATACGCCTGTTTTTATAGCTTTCATAATTCTTGCTGCAGACTCCTGCAAGCAAGAACTCATTTCTTTTGCGTTTCCGAGAAACTGTTTGTGTTGGCAGAATATGTTCCTCTTCGAAGCCTATTAACACTGAATTTAGAAGATCGCATAAACAAAAAGGCGATTTAACTCAGCCCGAGATAGCATCTGCTCTTTACCTTGATGAAAAAAATGGTTTTAGGGCAATATCAGCCGCAGCAGCAGCAGCAGCAGCAACAGAGAAGAGAGCGGTCATTTAGTCAGAAACACAGACACGATTCAAACCAGCGTCAGTGGTCATTCTGATAGTTGCAAGCACAGAGAAACTGCTTTTACTACTTGATTTCATCTGACAGCAAAAAAAAAGGAGGACAAAATGAAATGTTGCAAAAAAGAGTCTTCTGGCACCTTAAAGTCTAACAAAGATATTTGCGGTCTTAGCCACACGGTTTCAAAATAGCACAACAAAAGACCAGCTCTCACAATGCTATCACTTAGCTTGCAGTATCTAGAGATAATCTCAGACAGGGTGAGCTGTGGCCCCCATCTCTTAATGTGTGCTGCAGAGGACAAAACTCTGGCACTGGTTTGGTTCTCTTGATTTCATTTTCGAAATCAAATGTTCAGTCCTCAAAACGTTGAGAAATGCAGTCTCCCAAAGTGTCAGGAGATAAAGGGAATGGCAAACAACAGTCTATTCTGCACATCATTTCTGGTGCCCCACTTCCCAGTAGCCCAATCCGCGTGGTACATCTGAGCAAGTACATCTCAATAAACAATAGTTACACAAGAACACACAAATGTGACGCTCCACTCCTCAGGCACGGCCCAAGAATTATCTCAGGGAAAAGTGATTATCCCTCCTTTTGCGTTGCACATTGTTGTGTACTGCACATGTCACAACAGTCAGAGAAAGAGTCATGCTTATCTAGTCCTTTCGAAAGTCACCTCCAAGCATAAACAGATTTTAAAAGTTACAAGGGCATTTCTTCTACATGCA